CCAAAAGATTTAGTTTAGTTATCGTCAAATTTTGTTGTTTCGTCTTTGTTGTTTTTGATAAACTTACTAAGGTTGTTGTTAGATTTAAATGCAACATTACTCTTGATTTTATTAAAGAAATTAGATTAATGTATCGCATTAGTACCTAGATAAGTATAACTGTTAAATGTATTTATGGGGTTCTTGGATATTAAAAAAACGTTTTGATAGCTATTTTTTGTGTTTTGTGATTTAAGATTTTATTAATTAATTGTGCATCATAGCCGTTGTTAACTGCTATTTGGTTAATTAAATTTAATTCGTAACTATAATTTATTTATGATTATGGAACGTTTAAGAGTCTATTGACCATAGAGTTAAATGGGGCTATTTTGTGTGAAAATTGGTGAGAAGAACTTTTATGTATAACAGTAGCTGAGTTTGTAAAAATTTTGAATTTGTGGTGTCTTTTCTTTTTTGGATTGTTAGATCTAAATAATTAATAGAATTATTTATTTCTTCTTCCATTGTTAATTTAATACTAGGGTTTATGTTATTTATAAAATTCAAGAAAATATTTAGTTGTCGTTTTGTACCTGTAAAAGAAATTAGGATATCGGTACCAATATAGGATATGTTCAATATATGAATGTTTGAGTATAATTATCTTCAATTCGCTTATATGATTAACCATGATTAGGCCATTATGACTCGTAATTTTGTTTGTTGCTAACCATTTAATACCAGAGAACTACAAATTCGACGATAACTTTAGAATCTTACATGTAGCCAATAAAGGCACCAAACTAAAACTGCTGGAGTCTTTGAAAAAAAAAATAAACTAAAGAAATAATCGAATATTGTTCTTAATGACCAAATTGAAACCAACAACTCTCCTTTGCTTAATTTATTTTGGAATGTATACCTGTAGTATACTAAAACTAATATTTAATGTAAAATTATATTAGATAGGACTTTCCAAATCCATAGTATTTCCAAAATTGTTTAATTAATGCCCTCAGGTATAATATAAATACCGCCACTTGAAAAAAAATTGTAATTGCAAATTAAAAAAAAAAACATAAAAAGTAAATAGTAAAACTTTAAAATAGTGTGGTTTTTATTCATATATTAATAATATGGAGTTCCATCAAGTAAAGGTTTTAAGATGTATTAAAGTAAAGGCTTTAAGATGTGTTAAAACTGTATTGAAATCTATTTAAAGATTTCTCAAACTCAAAAATGTGTTTTTAAAAACATTAAAGCATCTCTGAAAGTCAAGTCGTTGTAGCATTTTTTGCGGCATTACGATTTTGGGACGTTTCAACTTTGTTCGTCATTTAATTGCGCACCGCAGCGGCTCACCTGTTTGTCGGCCATAAACTTTAATGGCGCCCATAAGTTCGTGTGTCGGCGACAAATGACCATAACGATATCAATTACATTTTAACATAAACTATTGAGAGAATACACTCCTCGCAATTTGGCTGCGACGAGGGGTAAAAAACGCGGGTAGGGCAACATATCGAACTTGACATGGCAATAAAAGTGCCTGTAAACTTATTGCTCCGTCTTCGGAGCCGAGGCTTATTGCATACTCGGCGTTCCGGGGCGCCTCTCCCCCCTCTCCCCCTCTTCAGACAATCAACAACATTCGTCCAATCGAGATTTATATTGAAAATTGTCAAGTCCATCACTGGAAACATATTAAACTTCCACGAGCTGCTTTTAAACGACTTGATTTCGAATCCTCCTGAATCCCCTTATCAATAAGAGATGTATTTAGATTTCATTTCAACCCCATAACCTTATTCGGTAAGGTGCAACCCTTGAAAACACTTAGTAGGTAGTAAATAATTTACTTAATAATGATAATAATAATGAATAGACAGTTCATATATAATAATATGATAAACATGGTAAGACATGTTTTTTGAAAATTAAATAAATCTTTCTGACAATGAAAAATGTTAATGCAATTTTTCAAGGAAGTGAAACAATTTTCTCTCACGCCAGAAGAAAAATTGAACCCAACAATGCATATAACATTAAATATTCGTATCATGAAAGTTATCTTAAATAAACAGACAGTTCCTGAAGAGGATTTTGCATACTCCATGTATGTGGCATATGTGCAAAATTGAAATGAACAAAAATTAAACAAATTGGAGTTTGCACGATTTTTGAAAATATCGCAAGCTTTGACCTTTTAGCGAGGTAATTTGTGATTTGTATCAGATTGTGTGGATGTTTCAATATTTGAAATTTTCTGTGCAAGTTTTCCAATGGCGTTGAAGCTACTGGACGTTAATACTCAGTAAGTGCTAATTTGACTCAAAACCAATTATCTCGAAATAGAAAATAAATAATTAAATACGATATTATTAATATAAGAGTCATATATTGTTGACAAATACATTTTAGTACTTTTAGTATGTGTAAAACTTTCTGTTCTGTTACATTTCGTCTTCAAACGTGTCCCACATTTGCTTTTACTAGCGCATTTACGTAAATAAAGTCGATAAAACTTATAAAATTGCTTCTGAAGGAAATAGGTAGGATTTGTACACCGAGGAATGTCGATAAAAATGGTAAATTTGATACCAGTTCTTGCAATACTACTTAAGAGCTATTTTTAAACTTCGCTTATTTTGGTCATCGGTTTATAATATCCAAGATGATTCAGCATACTTATTAAGCCTAATGGAGGTAACCATTTAAGGAATGTTTACATTTATCATAACTCATTCATTCATGCATTTGTTCGTCAAACGGAGCACCGTAAACCATTAGCACTTGCAGTGTTACAGAGCAGTGAAACCGTCACTTTCGTCTTCGAATGAAGAAGCCAAGAACCCGAGGAAGAGAAGACAATCTTTATCGCCTCGGGTCCAGTGAAATGTTTTAATAATTGCCTGTGTGAAAAACTAGTTCCTACGTCGTGCATTCCGTCTCTATTAAATATTCTTCTTCGATGACATCCTACCGGCGTAATTGCTCTAATGACAAGCGCGCTCGCTTCGTAGTGACGCATTTTATTTTATGAGATTTAATATTGTTATGTTGTTATTACTTGAATCGGCATTACGGAAGTACATAAAGGATCTTTGTCAATAATTGTAGATATAGAAATTGATATTCTTGTTAATTATTTTTAAATGAGTACTTGATTACCGAAGGAAACATTCACGGACCTAGATTAGTTCCCTGAGGCACCCCACCATTTACTAAACATCTATTAAAAACGAGCAATGCTCTATAAGTCTGGATAAAAAGTGTATTAAAATTTTTTAAGTGTTGAAATTATTTTTATTTATGGTGCACAAAATCTTTGTGCTCTACAAACTGGAGCGGTGCTTAATGAACTACACTCTGGCAAAAATATGTCATAAATAATATTATGTTGCAAAATTTGAACTAACGGGATCTGTGTGCAATCAAAAAAAACAACCTAGGATACTAAATAAAACCACCAATATTGAGGTTCTTTGTCAGTTTGATGTAGATCCCACAATATCACTCCGTTCGGAATATAGAATAACAGGGCTTTGCCCTGAGTCTATTAGGAAGGTGAATTTGATGTTTCAACACCTTCCCATTCAAAATGCATATTCCACAAGAACTTGGCGATGATGATGAAGACAGTCGTTTAGAATTTTGTGAAATCATGACCAATAAAATAGCAAATTAGATCCAAATACTAAAAATCATTTCCTTCAGCAATTTTAATCTAAATGGAAATGTCTACAAACAAAATTGTAGTTATTGGAGATATGAAAATGCTCATCTCATCAGATAAAATTGTATTATTTATTGACCAAAATTTATTTTGAAATGTTAGACAAAATAAAACAGCCACTAATAATAAATAAATAAACTAGAAAATCAAAGAGTATAGGATGATGAACTAGCATTGGTTGAAAATGTATTACATTTTCAACAAGATGGGGCACCGTCTCATTATGTAGTAGCTGTTAGGGCTTGGCTGGATCAAAATTATCCAGAATAGTGGATTTGTAGAAGAATTTTTCTTTTCATTCTAATGTTCGAAGGAAGTTTGAGAATAGACTGTATTATTGCTTACAAAATAATTTTAAGCAATTCATTTTAAAAGTTAAAAATTAAATTGTTTTGATTATTGTTGAACAATTTGTTTATTTTTATTTTAGTTTATTACACTTTTGTTAAAATTATTTTGTGCAGTTTTTTTACTAATGTTTTTACGACTACAAAATGGTTTAATTTCATATTTATAACGAGAAATTTGAATGAATAATAAAAAAAATATTTTGCGTATTTTTAAAAAAATGAACTATTAAAATAGTATATTAAAGAACTAATGTCATAAGACGTCATTTTGTCGCACGCGGAAAATTTATAGGAGCGATTTTTTTATGCTATTTTATCTATTTTGCAGAAATTCTATAAAAAAAAAATATTTTATACCTTAAATTTAATTTGGTCGAATTATACTTTACATAGTTGGTATCACAGTCATTGGTTTGACAGTTAATGTCAAAATCGATTCGCCATGCCGTCCTTAATTTACTTATTTACAATAAGCGGCTGTTAATGTTCCAGAAGAAAAAAAGGATTTTCTTTGGTGTTAAACAAAATTTATTGAAGGAAAAGTCTCGTAAGTACTAGAAAAATCATAAAAATATTATAACCAATATGCAAAATGTTTAAAATGTTGGGTGGGATAAAGTATCATTACAGCACCGAAAGCGATGTTATAATGAAGTCATTATGAACGCAAAATAGATAAACCATTTTTAGTACTGTTTCAAATGACGTCATACTGATTTCCCTCACATATCCTCAAAACCGTTTTGAGAAATTGTAGTTTTTTTTTTAGGTCCAAACTTATAGAGCATTGGTCATTTTTTAATAGACACCCTGTATATTATTATGTGCAGTGCACATTGCAGAACTTATAGACACGAAAATTTAAATGTAGTATATCTTTAATTAGATTAAAGTTTGTTTGAACGAGAAACTATTTGTTGCTGCTTCCTTACCTGCAAGCGAATTCGTTTTCTCCAAGGCACAGCTCCAAACATTCCTGTCTGGTGGCGACGGTTTGCTGGCTCTTAGCGTAGCCAGCCAATCGGTAATTCTGCACGCGATCTATGCACCAGGCCCTTTCGCAAGGCTTCACCCCCAGGCAGTTCTTCTGCGCGTAGATTGTGAACACCGGAAACTGGGACTTGGTCAGAGCACCTGTAACAACAAGAAAAAATCAGTCAGTCTTAAAACAAACAAGTTGAATTTCAAATAAAATCTCGGTCATATTTTTTCTCGTAAAGAAACCGGTACCATCGAACGGTAGCTGAACTGTTATTGTCGTAAAGATGGAAATATGCCCGCAAGATTATCGTTTCATTGCGGTGACGTTAATGAAGAATGTAATTATCACTTGCTGAACCAGCTGCAATTTCAGTGTATCGAGAGATGCATCGAAGAAGGAAGTCCTTGCCAGATAAACCTCGAGTTTTGTAACAGTTTAGCTTGTAAAAAGATCAGAAATGGACACAAAGCCAATCGTTTAATTGACGATTACATATCTGTCCAATATCCGCTTCCACTTGGTGGGATTAGATCTTAAAGGAATCTCAAGGTTTATAATTTTAATGACTGGCTTAAGACCACCCTCCATTTGATATTTTCTTTAAAAGTGATAAGTGACTTCTGTATCTTTGAAGGCAGTATAGAACGTTAATGAACGTTAAACCAAGACTAAGACTTTGTCCCAATAAAACAGTAAATGAATAAACTACACTATAAAAGCTTATATTATCAATCACTCAGGACAGCAAGGAGGGAAAAGTGATTCGATAGAGAAATTAAAATGTTGATTGGTTTTCGATTTTATAGTTGAGATGCTAACTGGAAAAGTTGATTTATAGTGCATAATGCTACCCATACGGGATGCAGTGCCGTGCATTATTATGGTTATTATTGCACATTATTTTGGTGCTATTTTCTTGGTAATACGTTTATTAATTGCAACAAACCCGTACGATCAGTAGCCGTTTGAGGGAAGAATGTAATATTCAATGTAATAATATATTTAAATGGTTTCATAAACTTCCAAATAATTAATCTAGAAACATAAACTTTGTAATAAATCGATATTTAATGTGTTAATCAAAATTCCGGGGTAATACCGATGCCCGGATCAAGTTTACTATCCGAATAATAATGGTTGAATTTGATCTTGAAACTATAAAATGACTGATCAATATTTTATTATATTTCAAATACAATCTGGTTACACAGTAATAAAATAATTTCACAAAATAAGTTCAAAAGTATAAAAAAGTTAGATAAATGGATATTTTTACATATAAATCAGCTTCTAGTTGACAGTTATATGAAAGTTGAAATACAGCTACAAGAGTTAATGATAGGATCACGAATGTTTACAAAAACAAAACTTCACGAGATGGTTTATGTACCATGTTGACTAAGATAGTTCCTGTAAACACGTTTACTAAAACTGTAGAGATTAAATACCTACTACTGATTTTTTCTTACTTCATTAAGGAAATAGTTGGAATTATTTTTGCTTGTAATAAATACATACTTAATAAACTGTATCAATCTTCATAATGAAGGTTTATGTAACAATGTATCGTATCATGGATGTAGTTTATAGAAGATTTATTTTTTTGTTTTGATTATTAATATTATTAAATCAATTAATCAAATATCAGTACCAAAAAGATAAACATTCAATTTTCATATGAAATGAATATTAGCAGTAATGGGTCAAAAAAGTTTCTAAAAGAAACTAAAAAAATTAAATGTTTATTTTTTTGTTTTGATTATTAATATTATTAAATCAATTAATCAAATATCAGTACCAAAAAGATAAACATTCAATTTTCATATGAAATGAATATTAGCAGTAATGGGTCAAAAAAGTTTCTAAAAGAAACTAAAAAAATTAAATGTTTAGCCCGGTTGGGCTAATTCTAGATTCCTTTAGGCCATATTAGTATCTGTGATACAATTGCTGTGTGCAGACTCGGTTGCATAGTATGTACCGATTGCGGCAAAGGCCACGTTATTTGACGGTGTGGATCACCTGATGTTCTTACATCTCGCCTCTGTTGGGTTACCAGCCGAGCATATAAGCTCGGGGAGTCCTTTGTTTTGAGTGTTTTCCACTACACCAAGTTGCCCGACACTGATGAAACCCAATATAGGTCAAAACAGTTATCTGTCGGTATTTGAAGTTGGTGGAACGCACTCAAAACAAAAAACTTTGGTGAGGTGTAGGTTCAATTTTTTCTTACCAAAAAGATAAGTTCTTTGGAACCAAAAGAATAGAAATGGCTCCGTTCCAATTGACTGTATTTCCGATTTTGTTATTGTTTAAAATAAAGACAATTAAGGGTTGATTGGCAAAAAATATGAGCAGAGAAAATCTCAAAACTGTGTAGACCAGTATAGTGCAAGACTATTGAATGTAGCGAGTTCACAGGAGAAAGACTCAAATGATAACCTCTCGGAGTATCGTGAACACTTTGGCCACTCTTTTGCAAAAGAAACAAAGAGTTCGAATTGGTAAACGTGAAACGCTTATTCCGGTTGCGATATTTTCGCGATTGCAAATAACGTACGCGAGTTATGGTTCGTGCATCGAAATCGTAACGATAACTGCATCATTACAGATTTGCTCTCTGCTCGAAATGCATTGTTGCATCACTGTAGCGAAATTGCTCCGATCTGAGGATCGTGATCGCCTACGACCACTTGACAGCCGCTTACTTTCCCGGATTTCGGTTTCTTAGGTTGGCAATTACGATTAAATCCGACCCGGGGAGAGGTGCGATTTCAATTTCGAAAAATTTCACTTTACCTCAATGGGTGGTAGCGGAACGTAAACGTTTACCTCTATGTAATTGCTCTTCGCTGCCAGTTTTTTATCCTCCAAGCGTTCTTGTATCTCAATTTTATCCTAATGATAACGCGGATATGTTTTCGGTTTTGCAAACATTTCCTTCTCGTGCAATAAAGAAATTATAGCGTATTAGATAATATTAGTATATCGTGTTATGGGAGAATTAAATGAGTTTCCATTTTAGGACCACATACGTAAAATTTCACTCTCGGTGGTACACACTGAACATTATGACCAACATAATTCATATAAATTACTTCGTGCAATAAACTATAAAATGCATACATTTTATTACGGCATAATTAAAATTAACAACTCAATAACTGGGTTCTTTATAATATAATATAAAATAATTTTTAACTGTGCATCTTGTAAATTACCCAAAGGAAATGATACCAGAAACCGTAAATAACGCAATGATACATAGTTAATTAAATCAAAGCAAAATCGATATGAACTTGTAACAATAAAGAAATACAGTTTTTTAACCTCATTTAGCGGCATTATCATGTCAAAAGTAATAGGGAATGATTAAGTTATCAATAAGATACTTTGCTTTATTATTTAGCTTACTGCTTCTATCTGGATCAAGCTGGCCACACATTTGCCAGAAAAGGAAAAAAAAATATTTTAGAAACTAAGGGTTTTACATTATCAGGATGCTGCAATGTTACTGACCATGCAGATTTTTCGCAGGTAGGCTTTAGTGGCGGGACTACGTATCCACGCGCCTTTTTACAGCCAACCACATCTCCAAATTGCCGCTCTCTCTATGTTACTTTTTTATTTATTATTTGTCCCATTGTTTATTTAAGTCCTGCGGAGGGTCTTTACGCCCGCGGTCCGTTGCTACCCCTAACCCGCACAAGCCGTTCAGTTGGGCTCTGGGACTTGTTTTGCTCGTTACATTTCGATCGATTAAGCACAACAGTTACAAAGAAAAGCAAATAATAAACGTCTTATTACCAGTTAACGTGTTTATAGAGTAGGATAATGTAGCATAATTAAGATTAATAAGATAATTGATCTTAATTGATCTGCTTATTATTGAAAAACTAAAAACATAACATCATTATCTAGTCGTTTACTTCGCTACAAAGTTGAACTCTGAATTGTTTACTCTAGTTTTCTTAATACAAAGTAGTATTTATTTTTTTCTATCTTATCTCGTATTAAATTAAGGTTAACACAAAATAACTTTAAATGCTACGATTTCAAAAAAAAAAAATTCAGGAGGATTTACAGATTTCCTAAGAATTTTTGTTGAGGATAATAGAAACGTTACAGTATCAGTCACAAAATTTGATGATATTGCTTTTCATCAAGATGATTTCAAGTACTACAATGGACTATTGCTTAGTCGATAATTGCAAGAAATGGCTTTGGAATAGTGTGATTTGAAAACATTGGATTATTAATTACTAATGCGTCTGTCTCTTTCTATTGTACTTAATTAAACGAATAGCATAACGTCTGCAATTCGTTTAATTCAATTTTAGGACATGTATGGCAAGCCGTTTTAGTTTTTATTACACATGGCTATCAAGTCCCATTTTAATTCGACTTGATTTCCATGAGACATTAGATAATTGAAATTATATGTATTTTCCTTAAGGGAAATTACATTTTAATTACAAATTATAAATAAAATTCCTTTTTTAATAAGCATTGAAATTTTGGGTACATTAAATTGAAAAGATTATATGTAGAGGATGATTTACATTCGAAATTGTAATAAAAATACTAAAACATTTCATTTTTATTTGAAATAATAATAAAAATTATTTTTATGACAAATAGTAATTTTAATGCAAATTTCGTTAAGGAAAGTAGTTTTTATTATAATTAAGAATTTAAATGCATTTCCGTTAACGGAAATGCAATTTCTCTTAAGGGAAATATCATTTCTGTTAAGAGAAATTGTATTTCCCTTAACGGAAATAGCATTTCCGTTAAGGGAAATTGGCGCCATCTATGAGAGGACGGCTGAAGTTCAAACAGTTAATTTTATCAAAATTCTATAAAATGAAATTATTGCACTGTGATTTTACAAAAGATTTATTAGTAAAAACAATTTTTTTGATTGTTATCTTTTTAATTTAAAAACCAACCGTTACACCTGTTCACATCCACCCACAAAATATCACCCACCAGTGTTGCCAGATGTAAAAAGTGAAATTATCGACAAATCATCGACAAATTATTGACAAAATTATCGAATTTTCAGAAAATTGTCACTAAATTTGTATTGATAATGCTATAGCATATAATAATAGTAATATTAATAATTATGGGTACTACTCGAGAAAAC